CAAACCTAATGATGGGAGCAGAAAAATCCTGGTCAAGCAGCCAGGGACGCTGAATTTCAGTCTCTGCTGTAACTAGTGTTTTCAGTCTTGGACAAGACATTTCACTTCAAGGGCCATGTCATCGTAAAACAACCAGTTGGGTAAAATGACCCCTTAGGACTCTTCTGCTTTCCCAAACTCGTTATTCTTTTGCCAGTTGATTCAAACTACATTCTTTAAAAAGCAACACTGTTTCCTCTGTGTAACACTTAACAGGCCCCTGCTGTTTACCATCAATCACAGATGTGAGTTGTGTTCTATTTTTGTTCATTTCTTTAATTAGATACTTTAGTTCTTAGGATTCCTGAGACTAGCCCAGGAAGGTAAGATACAACACTGATAATCATGTCATTACAGTCCCTTAGTTCTCCAAGCTAAAGACAGGAAACAAAGTAGCTCATCTGCCAATGGACAGTCTTAAGTATAATGCATGGCACTGTCAACTGCAAGAACCACCAAAGTAGTGTAACATGTCATTCAAACTAACTAGACAACTACATGCTGTACTTAGGAAACCTCTTCAAAACCCAAGCAAAGAAGCCTCTGTGGTCAACAGTCGAGGCAATGGGGTGACTCCAACACAGAGGTACAAGGAGCAAGAATGTCCTCACTGGTTGGGATCAGTTATCTGGAGACGGAAGGCTGAGGACAGGAGCCCAGTGCAGCAGAGGGCAGAGGGAAGAAAAGGAAGAATCTAACAATGTTCCCAGTTCTGTTGTGAGTGGAGGTACCCCAGGGGAAGCAGGATGGTCAGGGTAGCATTCCAGACATCAGCAAAGAGATGATGACACCACAGACACTTCTCTACAATTTAAATTTAGAATAAATATATTACAACATCATGTTCCACACTCCATATACCAAACAAATGAGTTCCCAAAACTTTATGATATATTTGGGGTTTTACATTTATAAACACACCATGTCTGACATCTGCCTCAATCAGAGCAATGCAGGCACCAAATAGAAATCAGGGGTTATATGGACCTAAGATGTAAGACTGCAGCACTGAAGGCTCTTCCCACACCAGCCAGTGAGCACACAGGAACCTTCCTTTGTCCTCCCTCCCAAATGACCAGCTTCTGGGGCACTCAGCTGTCGCCTCTTGTCTCCAAACCAGGCAGGCAGGTCTTGTTTTATCAGTGCAGATCTGCAGCCCTTACTCTTCCGCCTGCTTCTCCTCTCGTACTCCACAATCTAAAGTCCACAGAGCCCCCAGGCATCAACAGCCTAAGTTCTGTGTGTGCTTAAACACCATAGTGGCTGGCAAGAGCAGCCTGCTTAAATGGCTCCTACATTCTGACACGGGGAAATGCTCCAAGAAGTCAGAAACTACATGCTATGAGTCAACCATACAAGAGATCCTTCTCTGAGTCAAAGGTCTCGTGGGCAGAGGGGTTTCCCTCACACAAAGCAAGACGAAGTGGCCTCAGCCTCTCTTTGTAGTCCCTTCTCACGGAGATACACAAGCAGCATTCTGAAACCAGAAAGAAGGCTCCTGTTCTCAACCCACACCCCACAGGCCATGTGACCCTGACAGGGCCCTTGCTAAGAGGCAAGAATGCAGGGTGGGAGGCAATGACACACCCTGTGAAGGCCACAAGCCTGCAGTTCTTTTTCCTCAGCCGCTCTCACCTCTCAAATCCCCACAGCCAACAAAGGGCAGGCAGGGACCTGAAGAGGGTCAGCCTGTGCACTACAAGGAGACCTTTCAGGGCCCACCCTCAAGCAATGCCTGAGCATGAGGTCAGCCTGATTCTAGCACCACAAAACAAGCTGACTTTGTGGCCAGATAGCTGTCCCCCTGTGAATGGAAAAGGGTTTATTTCACCCCGAATGACCTCACTCCCTATACAGGAAGCCTAACTGATTTTTAAATCGGTACATTCAGAGGCAGGCATGAGAATCCAGAGTTGCACATTACCTCCCCTTCCCCCTCCATCTGACCTCTGATCCCAAGTCACCCCAGTGTGCTCACTTCCCCCAGTCTCTCCCTGTTCCATGACAATCACCTCAGCTTGGGAATCGACAATGGCTCCTCCTTTATCCAAGCATCTGTTGGTTCTGACCATGTGACCCACATTCTTTTTCCTGTCCCTCTTGTCCTTGTTCTTTCTCTGCCATTCTAGCTACATAGCTCAGCAGCTAAGCACATACTCACACAGTGCAAACGCCAACTCTACCTCTAGGTGATTGTTAAGACCTGGTGTAAACCAGTTAAATGACTCGTTGTTTCTTTCCTACAGAATGGGGTAACAACAGTACCTACTGCACGGCCAAGAACAGTGGTGATTAAGGATGAAGACACAGTTAAATGCTCACACTAAAATCTGGCATACGGTATTACACTATAATGAGCAGTTCTTAAAATACTTATTGCCTATACATGCCATTTCCTCCATGAAGCCTCCCTGGGCAACACTAGTCAGTATCTTCCTGTTGAAGGTTCTGTCAGGAAGCACAGGTACCAGATGGAGTTGTTAGGGGGTGTTGCATGGATACTTGAATGGGAATCAGATGTGTGATTATAAAATTTATGCCTGAAGCATATACCTTTGGCTTCTAAACTAACTATACAATTACAATTGCCGTGTTTCGTCCCAATAACATATTAGAAGTTACAAGTTTTGTCTCTTGGACCTAAGGCTTTCATTCTACTTGTACTGAAAGCGTAAGAGCAGAACTCACACTACAGACAGCTGAGATAAAGACCTCTTACCACAGGACCACAGTGGGTCATACGCAGCTGCTCATGCATGGAACCTGAAAGACAGCATCACACTACTAGAAAAACGAAAGTAGTAAATCGTGTGCTGGGGTGTAGATCAATGGTAGAGACCTCACTGAGCCTGTTTGAATGTAAAGGGGGAGATTAAACAGACCCTCAGTAGAAGAGTTAAAAGCTATTCTTTTAGCATTCTAGATCTTAAAAAGTTTTGTTTTTTAAATGAATATAATGGAAGCAGGCATGCATGAGAATGCAGGTGCCTGCAGAGACCAGAAGAGGGTGCCACATCCCCTGCAGCTAGAGCTACAGGCAGTTGTGAGCCATATGAAGTGTGTGCTGGGAACCAAATTCAATTTTCGACAAGTGCAGCATATGTTCCTAACTGCTGAGCCGTATTTCCAGCTCCATAGGTCCAAACTACTTTCACCAAACAAAGTTAAACCACAATGCTAGTAGGAACTGGGTGGTAAATATATCAATCAACATAAAGCAAGTCTGGCATAGACTCCTCAAGGCAGCCAAACCCTTCATCTTTCTGCCTCCAAAATTCTACAGTATCTTTCCACACGGGACCTAGAGGACCCTACCTTGTCTTCTGAGTGACAAACTGTACTTCTCATCTAAACATACCATATCTCCCACAGTGGTGCTTTCCAGTAGTTTATATTCTAATCAAAACCATGCAACCACAATTAGAAATGCATTACCCAACAGGAAGCTCCAACAGGCCTATGCTAACTAAAGGATAAACAGGATAAAAATAGAACAAGAGGTTTTAAGAGAATGTTTGTTGGGCTGGGGTGTACATCAGTAGAGGGGTTGCCTAGTTCATGCCAGACCCTGGGTTGCTTTCCCAGCATAAAGAAAGAAAAACGGTTGTTTTAAAGCAGAGTGTAATTTAGAGGCACAGGATTGGGGCACAGTTTGCTTAGAAGCTGCCCCAGCTGAAACTATCATCACCATAGAAGGGATGCAGCCCCATTAAAGGCCTGGCTTCTCTACCTCCCACTGCCTGCCTGGGAAGATGAAGAGCTAAGTGGTGTATTAAAGGGAAATGGGCCTTGACAGCTAAACTTTCATCTACCACTTCTGTGGCATGAGAGCTGCCCTCAACACGCTGCTGCCCTCTTCCTGGCCAAATGGGCCCTAGTGGAACAAATCTGTCATGAACCACACCAGGCATCCCTGAGTACAGACTGCCCAAGAAATGGCTAAACTCTTGCCCTAACTCTCAGGGGCAACACCACTCAAGTGATCTGTCTAGAAAGGCTAAAAGCTTCACAAACCACTCCCTGGTATCTGTGGTACTGTCTAAGATGCATCGCCCTTCCCTAAGTGTTCACAACAAGCTGTGATTTGAAACACTGGCAGCTATCTGTATGACAGAAATGTGCACAGTTCTATAAGCAAAGACTATGTTTATCAGAAACAGCTAAACAAAACAGAGACCAAACACAATCCTCTGACATCAACGTTCTCCACCAACAGCATCCACTCAGTATAAAGCTATTGCAGCTAGAAAGATGGCCCAGCGAATAAGTACTTGCTGCCTGAGCATGAAAATGCGATTTTGGATCTAGCACCTACGTAAAAAGCTGAGCATGCCTACACATGTTTATAACCCCAGCACTGCAACAATGGCTAAGAGTATCACTGAGGCTTGCTGGCCTCCAATCACCAACCCAGCTCTGGGTTCAGTGAGAGACCTGGTCTCAAAGGAGCAAGGCAGAGAATGAGAGTAGATCACATTCTCCTCTGGTCTTCATGATCACCCAGATACACATCATACATCATCACATTCATAGACATACCTAGACATCATACCAAACATTAGTTAGTTGATCAATTCAAGATCAAGCTCGTGAATGGCTTGCCTGCTTGACCTGAAAGCAGTGGACAAGCCTTGAGACAGTTCAGAGACCAAGGGTAGTGGTTTAAATGAGAAATGTCTCCCACAGCCCCGGGCATTTGTACATGTGGTCCCACGTTGGTTGGTGGCACTGCTAGGGAGATTCAGGTGGTACAGCCTTGCTGGAAGAAGTCGTCAAGGGGTAGTATAGAGACAAGGTAACTAAAAAGCCATGCCAACTTCCACTCTGTACTCTCTGCTTTGTGCTATGGTTCAGAGTGTTAAGTTTTCAACTTCCTGCTGCCATGTCTACCATGTGCTGTCACGCCAACCCACCATGATGAACCCTGATCCCTCTGGAACCATCAAAACCCACAAACTTACATGCTCCTTCATCTGCTTGGTCACAGAGGATGACATCATCACACAGCAGAGGCCGATGACCAGGATGAAGTAGAGTAAGTACATGAAGCGGGTAGTCCGAGACTGTCGGACCTTAGGGCAGCAGCCACAGCAGAGGGAGCATCCAGCAGATCCACAACAGCAGGCCAACTAGGAAAGACACAAACATCCTGTCAGAGTGGGCCACTGTGACTGTTCTTCAGGGTCAAGGAACATGAGCCTCTGTAACCACTGGAATTTCAAAGGTGGGTGAGAAGTGTCTTGTTATTCATAAGCCCCATTAAGACACACCTGAGTCCGTGCTTAAAGGCACAACTCTTGGTGAGCTCCTCTCCCCAGGCATTTTAGGATGGGGTCTGGCTGTCAGAAGTCATCAGCCATATGACACTAAAGGTTGGAAATTTCAGCTCCCTGCTCTCTCCTTTCAGGGAGAAAATAGGTGATTGAGTTAAACAACTGATGGCTGGTGATTGAATCAGTTGTGATACATACTGGCATGTCTACAAAAACCCTCAAGAGTGGATTCAAAACTTCTATGTCAGTAAATGTATCCATGTACACTGGAGATGTGCCCCATCGCCGTGGGAACACATACTACTGGGGTTTGCACCCTCTGGGACTCCTCACCCTGTAATATGGCTGAGTATTTTTAACATTTATAGTAATCAGGGAAATATAAGTACAGAGTTTTACCTAAATTCTGTGAGCAATTCAGCAAATTACTGCACCCTAGAGCAAAGGGGAGGAACTCAGGTTTATATCCAATCCAATAGGCTGCAGGAGGTTCAGACTGTGACACAATTTTGTGAGACTGTACCAAAACTCAGTAGTGTCAGGTTTGAACTGAATTATAGACCCAGTTGGCATCCTATACAGAGCCACTGCTTTACAAACATGTGCCCTAGCTTTTGGCTGGTGGACCTTCCAGCTTCAGGATGAGCATTCTTTTGGTCATCATGACCACAGGACATAAGAGGAGTGTGTGGCAAAGCTTTTGCTAGAAGCAGTCAGATACTGTCTCGAATGATGAGCACTAATGGCTTGGAAGATGGCCAGGAATGCACAGGAAAGGGACTTCCTCATGAGAGCAAAGTCACTGCACTTAAGAGAAAACAAAAGGTTAAAAGAAAAGACAGCAGCTAAGAACTAGAAAAATGATTACATGAAGAGTACATAGGAAGGATTACATGGGAAATAAGAAGCTGGACCCAACAATCAAATGTCAAAATCCAGAGTACAAACTGTGTTGCCTAGGAACATGCTGGGAGGACAAGGCTGTGCTTATAGAGGGGAGTCTGCAACTTGAAACCCCAAGACAAGCTCATAGGTACCTCTTACACTATTTCTCAGTCTCATTCTCCTCAGGGCAATCTTTCTAGGCTAATGAGTGGGGCACGGGCTCAGTGAGCACAGGACTCCTGCTGTACCACTATGAGCATACAAAGTCTTTCCCTTGGGAAAACTACATCAGTGTGCCACATCACCCTGTGTGTTGCCCGAGTGTGTACATGCATGTGGAGGCTAGAAGTCTATATTGGGTGTCACTCCTCAGTCATGTGTTCACTTTACCTTTCAAGACAGAGTCTTACACTGGATATGGACCTCATCAATTCAGCTAGATGACCTGGCCAGCACACCAAGGGTCCTCCTGTTCCGGTCTCCACAGTGCTGGGGTTACAGAGGTGGGCTGCCACACTCGGCTTCTATGTGGGTCTTAGAAACCACATCAGGTCCTTGTACTGTACAGCAAGTCCTTTCCAAGCCAACATTCTCTCTGCTCCCCATTATTTGGAAAACTAGGTCTTTGATAAGACACAAGGCAGCAGGGTAATGGACAGCAGTTCAGCCTAGAGGCAGCCTTTGTGGGTGTGGTTAGACTCTGCTACCTGGAGATAAAGTCATTTATCCCTTCAGGACGCATGTCCTCACTTATAAAGTAACAATGGTAAGGGGACATAAGCTACACATCCCTTATACACTGCTGGGTGAAGCCCCCTCTGGTACAATTGACTTGAGGGAGGAGCTGTTACCCAACAGGGCTTTTATGAAATGAATTACAAAAACTGCAAATTACATCCGATTATGTGAGTATGAACACTGTTCTATATTGAACCTAAGCCTTAATAATTCAATTTCTTGATAATGATCTGAAAGGAAGTTTGGGACTTTGCAAAGCTCCAAAACAAACATAAGTTACAAGGCTTCATTATAAACATCATGTACAAGGAGACTAGTTAACAGATACGTAGTTAAGACAGCAAATTATAATGCTGTGGTAGATCTCAGAAGTCTGGTCACATCTCGTGCTACCTCGCTTACTTTATAAAAGTGCCAGAGTTTGAGCCTCTGTCCTTTTGCACTGCAACATGTCTTCTATGCATCTTACATTCAACTTTCCAGGTCATCTTATACAAATAGGCCATCGCTATAAAGGATGCAGTTCTCCTTAGGTTGAGCCAATAGATCGCACTGTGCAATACTAGCACCGCACCGCTGCATGGGTTTTTATCGGCTACACCTCCATTTCCTTTACAATTCATTCATCCTTTCTGTTTTTTGTTCTGTTTGGGCCTCAAGCTCCTCCCAAGTGTTGGGATTATAGGCATGTACCACCACACTGGGCTTATAATGTGCTAAGATTGAACCCAAGGCTTTGTACACATTAGGCAAAGCACTGTGCCAACTGAGCTGCCTCCCCAGGCCACTCTGTCCCCATTGTCAATCTCTGATTTTATTGACCTCTTTCTACACACATGTACAGGTCTTTCTCTTTCTCTGCTCCCAAACTAACTTGATTCTCTGGGCTTTCCCTCCTCTTTCCTAGCTTTTCTTCAGATAACCACATTTGCTGCATCCCAAGTTCAAATGTGACAAAACTGAGTGCATTGGAAAGAAAACTCCTTTAGAAGCAGTTTTCTATGTTTTGTGCCTTAAACGACCACATAGTAAAAGACTGGCCCAGCACGGAATGGTCTAAGAGCCTACGAAGGATCAGGTCACAGAAAGGGACTGACAGTCGCTGGCTCCCTTTGCTTTCTATATGCTCCCCTCAGGATGTGTTACTTGTCAAAACAACAGAGACGGCCAATCACATTCTAAACAGTGAGCCCAGTAAGCCTCTTCCTTTTATGGGCTGGTCATCTCAGGTGTTTTAGAACTAGCTAGAAAGCTTCAAGCTAATGGCAGAACTATACCAGAGCAGAGTCAATAGTTAAGCTTACTGTCTGCACAGAGGGGAACATGAATACATACAAACATCTAAATGTCTAAATAGTGACAGAAAGGGCATGATCATGGAAAACGCTACAATGAAGCAAGCAGTATAATCCTACTCTATCATTAAAGCCATATACCAAAGTATGCACCGTATTTGTCAAACGTTACTCTTTACTTACAGTGCTATGGTCCAGTGGTAGGTAGAGAATTTGCCTAGCAAATGCAACACAATTGGTCTAAACACAGTACTGCCAAAAACCAGACATATGTACATTTATATGTATGTACATATTGTACAAAAAGTCTAAAAACATTGCAATTCAACAGTAGTCTTTTTCTACTATACAAAGAATCACTCTTCAAAGCAAACCTACCAATAAACAAGGGAATGATGCATAACCTTAATCTGAATTTTGACAAACGCACCAGGTGGAACAGAAAACAATGTCCATGAAAGGGCACTACAATTCCAGGAAACAGTTACTCCACCTGTGCTGACTGGCCACAGTTTTGGAGAACATAACTTACAACAAAATAGGACTCATCCAGTTCCTGCCTCCAGAGTTTTATTACTTGACTTGTTCTTCACCTTAGACAATTCCTGTCTGGCCTAACTCCAAACTGTCACAAGTTTGGAGAGAAAAGCTAGTGTCCTATGTCTTGCTCTACAGGGCATAAGCCTTTTACCAAACAAGCCAGGCTTGAAAAACAAATGAATGTAGGGTTTACAGCACTAAGACCAAGCTGCAACATAAACTTGGAACTTGGAGACAAAGGGAGATACTGAGCCATCGGACATAACAAACGTGCCACTGTGCTGGGGGATGCTGTGAGGGATGGTGATCATAGGAAGACACTGATGTCACTAGAGAAGTTCATACTGAGAGGATGCTGGTCAGTTTGGTGAAGACCCACCTCTATGGTGACAGGACATATGTAAAATATGTCTATGTTTTCTACTCAGTTTTGCTGTAAGCTTAAAATTACTCTTTTTAAAAGCTTTTTGTTTAAAATAAAAATAAAAAATGATCAAAGCAGCTCTGTCCATCCTTGCCTCAGTAAATTGATGCTGAATGAGTAATGTCTGGTGAAGTCATGTGGGTGGCAAACTCCTCAAACCAAAAGTACAAGCAACCTCAGTCCCTGGGGCCACAGTCACAAACCGCATGTTAAACTCTTGCATTTCTTACTATCATTATAACACAGAGCACTAAGGACTATAATTTTTATTTTATTTTCTTTTGTTTTTTGAGATTATAATTATATCATTCACCTTTTCTTTGTTTCCCCACCCCTAAACCTTCCCATATATCCCTCCTTACTCTCATTCAAATTCATGACCTCTGTTTTCATTGTTGTTGCTACATTCATATGTATATATATGAATAGATATTTATGTACATACATATATGTATTATATTCCTAAACACATAAAAACAACCTGTTCAGTCTGTATAATGCCATTTGTATGTATGTTTTCAGGGCTGACCATTTGGTATTGGATAACCAATTGGTGTGCTCTTCCTTGGGGAAGACTATTTGTCCTGCTCTCGTTATTTCTTAGCTGCTGTAGGGTTGAGGTCTTGTGAGTCTCCTCCCTATAATTTTTAAACTCTTCAGAGGGCAATGCTTACAGTTATTCAAAGTTCATCCTTGTGGATAAACACCTACAAGGATTCAAAGACTTGGTTACAAACATTGGAAATAGCCTTAGAAATCTATACAAGGCCTAGTGTTAATTATGGGCTATCTATCCAATGGGATATTGCTTTAAAATGAGAAGGTTAGTATTACTGAGCCTGTATCTCCTTCAAAATTCATGTGTTGAAATACTAACTTCCAGCACCTGAAAATGTGATTTTGTTTGGTTTTCAGAGGGTGGAGTTTTTAAACAGGATCCCTGGAATAGTCCATAACCCAGTGGTTTGTGTCCTTATCAGGAGAGAAGAGAATCCAGAGTCATCAGGACTGCCTTGTGAGAAGACGTTAAGGGGCCATTTATAGGACAACCTGCCAAAGCCTGGCTCTGGGGCTTTTAGCCTCTGGAAACATGAGACTGAATTTTTGTTTAAGCCATGTGGTTGGAAATCTTGAGTGTAGCCACCACCACTAACACAGTCCACATGTGCTGACATGGTCTATCTATACAGAAGGTACATAGAGTCATGTGGGAAAATATAAGACTACTACCATTGACTACCAGGGGAATGACCTAGATATGGGGGAGAAACATCTACTTCTTAACACTCAAGCTTTTACAATGTGTGTATTACTTTTGTTTTGCTTTATTTGGGACAGGATCTTAGGAAGTACAAGCTGGCCTCAAACTCTCTATGTATCTGAGGAGGGTCCTATACTCCTGATTCTCCTCCCAGTGCTGGGATCCAGGAACATGGCACCATACTTGACGAATAGTCACATTTCTTTTCTTTTTAAAGAGTAGTACATGCACCCTGGGCTACATGAGATCCTGTCAAAGGAAGGAAGAAAGGGAAGGAAGGAAGAAGGGAAAGAAAATCCAAGTCTTTTAGAAAAGCAATGAGGTTTGAAGATGTTTCTGTAACAGGATTTGCAAACATAGTATGGACTTAGTGCTTTTCTTCCCTTCTGAAGAGCCCTTCTGTCCCTCAAACAAATCACAAAGAGGAATCTGTCACTCGTAGAGTCCTTCCCACTGTCCCAGATCAGTTCTGAGGCATGCTCAACACAGGCTTTCAGACAGCTCTTTATCCCTGCCTGGGGAAAGCTCAAAATGAAAGACAGGCCAGTTGTGCTCACTCTTCCCCTTTGTCTAAGGAGAATCCACAACACAATCCACCAAAAGTGAATACCATTCTCCATTCTCCCTTCCTGTTCTTGCCCACCAGCCCTGGGAAGTCATCACCCAAGGACTGAGGGAAGCCTATGAGGAAATGCGCCAGGAACCATGCATGAGTAGGGTTGGGGGTGGCTTCAGGTACTTCTATTAAGTCAAAACAAAATACCCTCATTCCCTGGAAGTCCAAGCCAGCAGTACAAACTGAAAATAGCAACACATCAGGAAGCCTGCAAGTGTCACTAAGTAAGTACAAACATACAGTGGTACCTAACTCATACAAGAGTCCACCTCTCTGCAGTTCAAACTTTCTTTCATAGTTCCAAAGGCCTAAGTACCAGATCCTGAAGCTCACAGCAAGTGGCTGTGAGATAGCTCAGGAGTGGGTGGGGACTATCAGGGATGGTGGGGGTACCTGAGTGTGAAGCTTAACTTGGGAGTCTGGGTGCTGATGCTCATGCTCACACAAAACTTCAATTTTGGGTCCGTTTCTCATGAACTCATGGTGTAAAATTCATGGGTTTTTAAAGGAATATTTTTATTTCAGAAAGAAAAACTAAGAGAATGATCAGAGCTCTGCTGTAGAAAATAGACCTCTGGAAGGCAAACAAAGCTCCAAAAGGGACCCAAGGGGGGGGTATTCTACTTGCTCCTGCATGAGAGGGGAACATGCTGAAATGTTTGTCTATGGGCTGCTAATACAACTTATGGCAGGAATTAGGAAGAGACAGTTTTTAATCAAGACTGGCTAATTCTCTGTGCAGAATGGAGTTGAGTCAGCAGAGACCCACATGCTCTACACACGTTCTACTGCTCCTAGCAGAGAGATCAGGCATGTTCACACACGTACTTAGAGGAATGCCATGCTTTGATGCCCTCTATGCATCTCTCACTTGTTGCTAACTGTTGACTGTCTACTGACCATTAGCCACAACCAGCATTACTACTCACTGACTTTGTGAGGTCTGTTAACTGTTAGACTATGCTCTTTGTTCTGGAACTTTACATAACCAGCTAGAGCCTTACCACAGGCCTTTTTCTTTTACTGTTGTGGATAGTTGAGTCCTATCATAGGATGTAGCTGTAGTTTCTCTTGGCTGACTCGTGTTTAACTCCTTGTCTACAGGTTGATCTAGGGTATTCACATTTTTGGAATAGGCAAAATAGAATAAGTGAAAAGGAACAGAATTGTTAAAAACTGTCCGTATTTATAATTTAGTCTACTATACTTGCCAGCAAAAGAATTCATGAAAAACCATGTGTCTTGTGTGTACTTTCCTGGGGGACTTCAGCCAACGACCAACACTAGCTCAAAGCCTGTCTTTCCTTTTATCTGGTTAGTTCAGTTATCTCATACCCAGCTGCGAGCCCTTTTGCTTCTCATTCCTGGTGTTCTGGGTCTCAGCATTTTAACCCTCACTCATTAATACTAACCTTTGTTTCTTACCATCATAAAAAGGACTTGTGCAGCCCAGATCTGAAAAACTAGAAAGTCAGAGTGTTAACTGGGCAGCCCTGGGTCCTGAAATTCTGAACCACACAATCATTATTTTGCAGCTGCTTTCCCCACCCTCTGTGAGTTTATGAGGACTCATTATCCTACTGCATGAGGGCTAGGGAGAGGAGTACAAGTGCCACCAGAATGCCGGACAGTGCATGCTGGGCAGTATGTACTGGGTCGCTGCCTTTTTGAAACACCTATAAAATGCTGAAATGAGGTTAAAGAAGGAGTCCATCTGTTGAAATAGTGTGTACCATGTGACAGGAAATGGAGAATGGGGAACTTTTATATTCCACGCTGTAGGGAGGACTCTACACTTACACACTATTTTTTTTTACCCCACCCCCACTTACACACTATTAATGAGCTACTGGCTCTTGGTTAACTTCCCAGGCCAGGCAGCATCTGAGGAGACACAGAGTTGACACCAGCAGACAAGCGGATAGACTCAATAGTCCAAGAAGTACCTGAGACATCCAGAAAGAAGGCAGAGAAGCATGGATGGCAGAAACCATGAATCTCAGAATATGGTGGTCACTTGACTGGGGGGGAGGGGGCATGGTTAAGCTCTGGGATGGTAAACAGTCTTTGTTCCCCTCTTTGCAACAGCTTCTGAGCTAACAATGAGACTGTAGACTGTAGGGTGTTTCCACGAGGGGTTAACCTACCACCTGCTCAGATCGCCGGTCATCTAACTAAAGCACAATTTACAGACTTAGCATTCTTTTCTGCTCACTGGCATGTATGGTAACAAACATCCCAAGCTCAGGCATAACAGTTACAACTGTAGTTGGTCCTCCAGTTACAGCTGCCGCTCATCCCAGACTCAAAATGACTGTACCAAAGTGAACTCAACACAAACACACACATTAGGAATGTCATTTACCCCTCACAGACAAAACTTACTTCATCTATATTAGCCAACACCTGCCACTCTCTTACTCTTTGCAGGGGACAACAATTACTGGCACTGCTGTCATCTCTGTGAAGAGTGGGAACCAGGGCTCGGGGAAGTGATGTAACTAAAGATGACAGGGCCTTGAGGAAAGAGCCAGGGCTTCATCTGTTGAGCTCTGCTGTTTGCGGCTTGCATGAGTAAAGCACACTGGCCGAACCGTGGCTTCCTCTAAAAGGGAGGCTGGCTGAGTTGGGAGGGTAAGAAGGAAGAAGCATTTTTTCTTTACTGCCCTACACAGTAAGGGGCCAGTGAGTCACCTCCCTTCTGTCCACATCTTCTCTGCATACTTGACTTCTACAACAGCTAGCAGCACGGGACCTGGAAGTGTTCTCCAAGCCTTCTGCCAAAGAGATCAATTACCAAGGCACCAAACTCCTTACCTCCTCACCAAATCCTGCCCAGTTCCTAGCTCTATAGAAACAGTCAGGCCATTCACTCACTCAGCCAGTATTTGGTGTATCCATAATTACTAAGAGAAGCATTTGCTCCTTGGAATGTAGCAGTGACTATGGAACTCCACTCCCATCACTGAGCAAGGCACTTGGTGGCTGGTGTCTACAATCTCAGCACTTCGAAGGCTGAGGCAGGAGAATTACAGTGAGTTTGAGGTCAATCTAACCTGGGCTGCAGAGGTATAACCTGTATAGAACACACAAACAATCAAGAGACAGAAAGAGGACTAACAAGAAAAGAAAACTAAGACAAAAGACGAAAAGGAAGGAAATTTGAATGTTCAATGAATAACGTATTGATCAACTCACTTAAATTTCAGCAGATTCACATTTAGAATATGCCCACTGCAATGATTTTTCCCAGTCATACAGAAAGTCATCTGTGGTGTGTTAACCGAAAGCAGCTAGTAACACAGAAGCACTGAGTATAGCAGCACTGGAGATAAAAACAGAACAAGACAGAATAGCAACAACACCCACAACCCAGAAGAAAGTTCAGTATGCCAACAGCACTGAAGAGCGACAGGATTAGGAATGATTATATTGGTCTGTATTTTCTGAACTCTGCAGCAAATACCTATCTTACAGTTAGAAAACCATTGCTCCAAGTTTCAGTTTGACAAGAAAACGAACAGCATTCCTGCTCCATCCTGTAGGTGGTAAGTATTCAAACATTAGTTAAATGAATCAGAGAGCTAAAAAAAAGACCTCTATGTCAGCCAGGAGGCCAATGCAAGACTACCAGTTAACTGAGGCACAGATTAAAATTGTCTGCTTTCAGAAATGTTGAAGATGGTAAGATTCTGTCACATGTTTTTACCACAAAACAAAAACACAAATATTAGGACTGGGGATGTGGCACTGTGGTTGAGTATTTGCCTACTATGTGAAAGATCCTGGCTTTGATTCCTTAGCATAAACAAATAATAAATAAATCTCTAGGACCCTGCTAATATTTTTTGTGTTTAACTAATGTAAACAAACCTCTATTTGGTGGTATCTAAATCATTAGTAAATGAAATGAAATTATTAAACATCTACCTAAAAGGTCAAGCAGGTGACTTTTCCTCTTTGGTTCAAGAATATCTAGACTTCTCAGTGGCTCCTGCTAGGCAGGACAGGTGATCCTTTTCAACATCCTAGAACACACACCAGGACCAAGCCTGCATAAGGCCAGGCTGTGATCACAATGCCAGCACCTGTGATGGAGTTACAGTGGGGTCCTGGAAGAGCTGTTCTTTGGGGGCGCTTTTTCTCACAAGGTGAGGGTTTCTTTCTTCCTCTCAGACAGCAGATGGAGTCTTTCAATCTTTCCGTCACACTGCCATCTCTGCTCAGATGCAATACAGGAAACACCACACAGAACAGTGGTTGTTCATCTGCAATTTCACCAAAGTACAAAGCACTAAATGGAAAATTCTAGAAACAAGTAATTCATAAGTCTGAAGTTTTACTACAGTGTATTGTAAGAAGTGTTTAATTTTATTGCAAGTTGGTATTGTTAATCTCTCACTATGACTAACAAATTAAAATTTCTCATATTTACATATATGGAAAAGCACAGAGTACATGTGAAGTAGGTACCTGTCTGTGGTTGCAGGTGTGTTTTGTGGGTTTTGACCATTTACGCTCCATGGATAAGGCAGGATGGCTATACATTCCAGTTGGTTGGTAAAGGGATTCTACAAGGCTTAAGGTTAAAGGTAAACGAATTCCACCTTTCTCTAAGTTCAACAGAAAACAGCCATTCCTAAGAGAACACTGAGAGTAAGCATCCTCGAGTTCAGGGTTACTGATGCTGAGGTTTCTTATGGAACATGACTTATGTTCTGTGGCACATTCAGCAGTGTCTTTGACCTCCTCCTTGGCCTCCTCAGCTAGATGCAATAGCACTATCTCCAGACACCTGCTCCTTGGCTGAGAACTACTCATTTAAGAGTCAAGAGCAATGGATTCAAATGAGGTTTACACGCTGTAGTCTGAAACCAGAAGACTATTACAACAACATGGGAAAGCTGATTCTGTGCATATAACAACACCTGCATAGGCTCCAACTAAAGCTACCTTCATCCTTTTATTATCAGTGAGGAGAAAGTATGGATGCAGGCGCATCATCTGTACCCATCAAGGAGTATCTGCAGTAGAACAGACAAAAGGGTGGGGGGACCTCACATTCCACAAGAAAAAGCTGCCAGGAAATGACTCCCCAGAATCCAAGAAGTCTAGAGAAATGGGGAAAGCACTCACTGAGTTTAAATCACTATTGCAAATTAGTTTTAAACACTCTCCTCAAAGGTGGAAAGACAATCTTGCTTGTCTTACTTTATAAATAACAGCTTATCAACTGGCAATTACAGAAACTCTAAACCCCGAATCTGCCTCCTGTGTCATAGGGATTATGCTGCAATGGAGAGATCTGTGAGCCCTTTCCAAGAGCCACTGAGGGCCAATCCAGTTCCCAAACCCTGCCAAGCCACAGTGCACTCTCCAGGCTGGAGACTAGATCACAGAGCCAAGGAGATGGAGAAGTATGCTCTGGCATGGGAACAGCAATGAGTTCATTTCACTGCTCTCAGAGAGCTGAGACGGAAGGGGCTGGGACTCAGGAGTGCCAGTGTGAAGGGCTTCATGGGGAATACGCTTCTTTTCAAGCAAAATTTTCTGTCCAGACTCAGACACTTGGATGCACTATAATGTCACAAACCATACAGCACTCGCATAACAAATGTTTACCAATGCTTCCTTAGTAAAAAAAAAAAAACACTGCCCCAGGACCTGACAATACAATTTCTGCCCTCAGAAAGCTCACATTCTAGTAAATAAATATTACCCAAACTTAGCATCCTGGAAAGCCAACCCAACCTGGGACATATCTGCAAATGTAGGTGGAAAGCCTTGGATGTAATCCAGTCTTCTCATTTTCCTAAAGTAAGACTGGATGTCCAGAAAGGTTATGATTCAAAGACATAGTGATGGATATTGTACATCAGTGGACAAAAAAACTCCATGAACACGAACAACTCAACATTCTGAAAGAGGGTTCAGCCAGTAACCTCTGGGCTCCACACTTCAATATCTACAGTGCAATATACTATGAGACATTCAAAATTGCTATGTGAAGTCATGGCAAATAAACTAAAGCAGCACTCTGCTCATCCTAGCAAACAGGTAGTAAGTGTCTAGAAAGGTTTCCATCACAACCAGAGAAAACCAAAAGATGGAGAACAATGCCCTAACTCCAGGCTGGTCACAAAACCAAGTTGCTTCCTGCCAGTGTCCTGATCAATGCCTAGCCTCTTTTTTGTTTTTTGGGTTATTTGTTGTTGTTTGTTTGTTTGTTTTCAAGACAGGGTATCTCTGTGGTTTTGGAGCCTGTCCTGGAACTAGCTTTTGCAGACCAGGCTGGTCTCAAACTCACGGAGATCTGCCTGCCTCTGCCTCCCACGTGCTGGGATTAGAGGCTTGCGTCACCATAGCAATGCCTAGCCTTAATGAACCTCCTTCCCCAACCTTCTGAGAAGCAAAGAGCAGGAAATTCCCTACCCACCCCTCCACTATATAGGGCCAACTACCAGTCACATCCCCTGCCCACACTACAGAAAGGTCGATACTCAAGTAATACCTTGTGACTGCCCAGTGAGAAGGTTTTTCTTTGTGGTCTGTTTGTGAAGTAGGATCTCACACAGTGTTGAGGATGACCTTGAACTTCTGGTCCTCCACCTCCACTAAGCTTTGTTTACCTGGTGATGGAGTTGGACCCCAGCGCTTCAGACATGCTCAGGAAGTATTCTAACAAACTGAACTGCATCCCTAGCCCCAAGATGGTTCTTTCCAAACTTGTCTTACAGTGAGAGCTCCGTTCACTTTACCAACCTTAGGCTGTTTAGGGCAGTTAGGATCCACAAAATGTTCCATAAACAGGAAATTTTTCATGTAAATCAGAAACTAAGGTGTCAGGCAACTAGCGTCTGATTTGAAAAACTACCACTGTGTCATATGCCAGTGGCAAAGAGCAGGGACAAGAGACAGATAGGGCAGGGGACCCACAGGAACCCCACTGGCCACCCTCCCCCTTCCCAGGCACTCTGCTCTGGAAGGAGGGTGTGGGAACATGAGAGTCTTACTGGGCAGCTTTCGCTTGGGGCCAGAACAGCAGCTGCACGTGTTTTCTATGGCTGAGAAAATGCCTCCTCTTCACAGTTAATCTTACCATCCATCAATCCCCAAAACATTAGGAAGCCTCAGACTAGCTTTCCTCTCGTTTCATCATGGAATTCCATCTCCTTCTCCCATTTTCAATGTGAAAGGCAAAGAATCAGTGTTGACTTGTCCCGGAAAAAAGTATCATAAGTTCATTACCTTTCCTCTCTTCAGCACTCTTCAGTCACCTAGTAGACTGTCCCAGCACCTTTAACCCCTTCTGAACCGGGTCCTCTTTCCAAGGCTGGCTGGTATTGGGATGCTCGCCATCAGGGTGCACTCCTTCAATGGCAACACTTGGTAGACAACTATCACATGCATACAATCCCCTGCAGCTCAGTGAAAATGCAGCTCAGTGGCAGCTCAGTGGCAGAGCACTTGCATGTCTGGGGTCTGACTCAGCCCCCCAAACTACTGTAGGTCAGTAGGAGGAGTTAAATAAGAGTCACTTCTACCAAAATACCAGCAGAAGCGCAATAGTCATAAGCGGGGTCTCCCTGCTCCAAGCTTTATTTTCCTCGTTATTCATCAGGTAATCGGGGAGCTAAAGAGAGGTTGATTTCCCTGGATCGCTTTCATGAAACAGATCATTGCCCACATTGGAAGCAGTGTCCAAAACTCTTTTACCTTCCCTACATTGTGAAGGCCAGCACCCCAGCATCAAAGTCAAATGTGAGAACCCTGAAGCCAGGGAAACATACACTGAACTGTTAATTGGACTGGGAGGTAAACAGGCCCAAGGGAGAGGTAGTTCAGGAAATGAATCTTAATTACTGTTATTTGCACAGTCAAACCCAGTATTTCTCCAGTCAGCTGGTGGGATGAATGTGGACTGAGCAAGAGGGGTGCCTTTGAAGATTCTACACCTGACCTTCCTCATTCGTTCCTGAAGGAAAAGCCAAGGTGTTGGTCTTCAGGGAGGCCAAGGAGGAAGCCAGGCTGGGTCAAGATGTCTGAGCCACAATTCCTCTTAAGGGGAGCTACCACCCTCCTCCTACTCCTCCTCGGAGGATTAGACAGCACTAGGCCTGAGCTCCCAGACAGAGAAGCTGCTGGGGTGAAGGCAACAGATAGAAATTACTGACAAAACACTGAGTTCCTGATTAGTGGTTAAAGGAGGGGGTTAGAGCAGGAGAGATTAGCCTGCGGGGTGAGTAGGGCAAAGCCTGGGTGGCAATGAGGGTACGTGGCTGGCACAGCTGGGAACAGTTGGCAATCGTGAGCCGCCCTGGCGAGAAATGGAGCAATGAAGCAGTAGAAGACAGCCATCACGCCGATCAACCCAGAGCAGAGTACAAGCAAGAGCTGCTTCCCCACAGGAGATAGGAACATCATGCCGATCAACCCAGAGCAGAGTTTCTAGTTCAGGTCTAACCCACAGAATCCCAGAACCTATACTCTAAGAGGCTCCCAAAGTGACCATCAGAAACCAGCCCAGCAGCTGGTGCAGACTTAAATTCAACCCATGATTAAATTACACCACGTCACATGCCTGACAGCCAGTGTCCCCAGATACTTATTCAAAGCCCCTTCAATGATGGTGAACACAGCAGGAAGTCTTCAAGGACATCAAACACAACTTTGGTGTAGCAACACGATCCAGACAGACTAGGATCTTGTCCTGAAGAAGTCTTTAATACAGAAGTATGCTAACAGACACCCTCAGAAAAGGAAAACACACCCAGGGCTGAGGGATGTCAGGTGACCTTTGTTTCTCTGGCCTATTCTAGCTTTCCAGGGTTTCAACACTATGCTTGAATTTCATAAGTTTTATTTCCTGGGCAGTAGGTGTTTGTTTTGTTGGGTTTTTTTAATTAGATGAATATACAAATTTTTAGTAAATAAAGAATCAAATAATAGAAATTTATAAACCAGAAAAAAAATTTAAAGTTAACTTAATTTGTTACATTCCACATAAAGAATGACTGCTGTGTTTACAAAATATATTCTATTAATATAAATTAAAGATAAGAATGACCCTAGCAAAATCAACAATTGTCAGATAAACACCATAAAGTAAGTTTCAATAACAGTTGTGATAAATGGTCCAAACCTCCCTCTTGGCTGCTGTTGTAAACAGACATCACCCTGCCATGGGGAACATCCTACTGTGTTGTCCTGAAGAAGAATCACACCACTAGGTGGATAGGCCACTGTTTCAAGGTGACTTCTCAGCAGG